CCAAAGATGGACTCGGCGAGTAGGTGTTGGGTGAAGAAAACCCTAAATCTGGGAATGAGCCCTATATAAATATCATTATGTTTCCTCCATAGCCTCCTTGATCCCCCTTGAGTCCTAGAAACCCTAATTTCGTGGAAGAACCCCATTGTTGAGCAAATTGGAGCTTGGAGAGGTGTTGTTGAAGAAATCTTGAAGGAGAGGAGGCTTGGATCAAGGGGCTTTGCTTGGATTCGAGTTTCATTGCTGTTGGGGCATTATTTGGAGGTAATATTTCGTTCTTGGGCTGTGTTCTCTTAGATTCTCATTTTGGGGTTGTGTGGGAAGCTTAGTTGTGTGGCATCTTGAGTTTGAAGGATGGATCTGAGGTTGCTACCTCAGATCTGGAGTGGAGAAGATCTTATGAGCATTAAAGCCCTTGTTCTTGTGTTGTTAATGGAGCTATCATGTCCCAAACCTTAGTTCTAAGGTGAATAAGGCCTAGATCTCTTTGGATTCACGTAAAGTACGTGATGGATGGATTGTAGGAGGTTGGATCTATGTTTTGGATCAATTTCATGGCCTGGAGTGCTTCTGAATTGATTCAGACCGGTGATACTCGGCGAGTCACATGGGTGGACTCGACAAGTTGCCTGAAGATGGCCTGGAACTCGGTGAGTTGGAAGAACAACTCGGCGAGTAGATTGAAGATAGCCTTAGACTCGGCGAGTTTGTTCTTGGACTCAGCGAGTCTTGTCGAAGAGTCCCAATATTTCCTGGTTGAGTCGAGAATCGGTGAGTCAAGGGATGACTCGGTGAGTTGGGTGCGAGTGGACTCAGAGTTGTTGGACTCAGCGAGTCTTGGGGTGACTCGGCGAGTTGGGTCGCTGATGGAGGGAAGTTCTGAGCATGGGGACTCGGCGAGTCATCGGGTTGACTCGGTGAGTAGGGTCAGTCAGGGGTTGACTTTGACTTTGTCCAAGGTTGACCAGTTGTCTTCCAGGGGTATTTTGGTAATTAAGGGTATTTATTGAATTGAATGTTTCGGTGTTCAGTGGAGGAGTTCGTGTCAGGGTTGGAGTAGCGGGATCTTATCCTTTCAGCCGGCAGTTTCGAGGTGAGTTATCCTCACTATATCAACACGGTCTAAGGCACCAAGGCCGGCCCTTATCGGATTGAGATCCGGGTAGTTGTTATTATTTTTTGTTGTGATATGCTTGCATCCTGAGAGTAGGACGGTATATGTTAGAGACCTGATTGAGATCGGTATCCTGAGAGATAGGGAGATGCTATGCTAATGACCTGTTAGGTCGGTATCCTGCTTAGAGTATGTTATGCTATGTGATCTGCCCTGATCGGCTTGTTTGAATGTGAACTGTTATATGATTATATGTTTATGTGTACATGGTTGTTTGGACTGGAGATGGGTTGAGGCGATCCTGCTTTGTGCTGTAGGCCAAGATACTCAGGGCGGACCGGTTGTTCCGAAGGCCCAGCGAGTGGTCCGGATATGCTGTAGGCCCCACGCGGGCGGACCAGACGTGCCGAGGCTCGGAGAGTGGACCAGGCCGACTGAAGGCCCGATGCGGGCGGACCAGTCATACTGTAGACTCAGAGAGTGGACCAGGTGAGTTGAAGGCCCAGTGCGGGCGGACCAACCACACTGTAGACTCGAAGGACATGACTAGACTCGGAGGATGGATCCGGTGGACTGAAGGCCCGATACGGCGGACCAGTCACACAGTAGACCCGATATGCATGGCTGTTCTATGTTCTGTTATGTTATGTATGTTTTATATGTTATGGGCCGGAAGGCAATATGTTTTGGACCGGAAGGTCGCAGCCTGGAAGGGCGTATATGTGGTTGGTATTTTGGGGGTATCTCACTAAGCTTTCGGGCTTACAGTTGTGGTTTAATGTTTTTCAGGTTCTTCAGGAGACTGTGGCAAGGCGAAGGCGTGATCGTACCGCTCCTCATGATTTTGAGGCAATGTGATTATGGGAATACTATAAATGATTTGTATTGAAAACCTTTTGTAAACAATTTAATGAAATCGGTTTGTTTTTGAAAAATTTAAATTGGTTGTATTTTTCGGCCGTTACAAGTTGGTATCAGAGCCTTGGTTTGAGTGAATTGGAGGAACACTTGTGTGACTCCAGTCTCAAATCGAGGAGGGTTTTCAAAAGAGAATTTAAAATGGTTTTCAAAATAAGTAAAGGAGGACGCGGAGGTACGATCAGCCGGAGCCAGTAAGTAACCCCAAAATACCATACATGATATTTGTTTTATTGAGCTTTGATAGAACAGCATGCTAGAGTTAGGCTAGGGATCTTCAGGATTTCTGATGTGTTGCCTGATTTATGATGCCTGCTAGCCTAGGGTTTTCTTGTGAGAGATTTCTAGTGTTCCTCTAGTTGTGAGGATAGAGCGTTGTTATGTATATTTTCTAGGGTGTTGTGGAAGTACTTCATACAAATATGGGTAGGTGTGGAAGGTAGTATGGGCCCGTACTACTGAAAGCACAGGACCCATACGCGTATCAGGGAAACCATGACCTCTAGGGTTGGGTTGAGAGTTGGTTCCCGGGATAGTGGGAGTGTCTGAGATTTTTGGTGGTTTATTTTCAGTATGGAGATTTCAGGGCATGCTGGGAGTGGATCCGGGTCAGGATCAGGAGCAGAAGGAGTTCCGGGTGGGTCTGTACAGCCCGAGGTTGTCAGGTCAGATGAGTA